CATATTAAATGAACATACTGATTAATAGACTTAAATTATCCATTAAAAACCCGAAGAAAATAAATAGATAGTGTGGTCAGCACTATGCCCAGCCGCCTTTACTTTCCCTAACGTGAGTTAGGTACCCATCAGAGTTGGGCGGACTCAGGGACGGTCTACAAAATCCAGCTCTCTACCGCACGGGTTAGCAGTCCAGCTCACTACCGCTAGACCACTAGACTACTTTTAATAAAGTCAATATTATTTCCTAATATTTAGTTGGCAACAACCCTTGTTGGATTTGAAACTTCTGTGCCAGCCTTCAACTGAGTTATTTGATTTTCGCATATGGTCTTCAGCACGTGTGTGCATGTTCCACATATCAAGTAGAAACGTAGTTTGTCTTCGACCTCGACGTTGTGGTCTGCCAATATAAAAAAGTCTGCAATCGGCATTGCTTCTTGGCGGAAAATTTCAGATAATTTACTAATGTGTACAGTGGGCACAAAAGCCGATGAATCTCTCACATCTTTGTTGCTTTGATCCGCATGGGTCCCACATATAGATGACCTATATCTAAGGTGTTGTCGGTGCATTTTTTTAGGTAGAAACTATATTCATAGTCGTAAAAAATTACAATTATTTAATTTAATTTAATTTAATTTAGTTTTTTTTTATTGGTTCTTATCATTTTTAACTCAGGCTGACCAACCAAGTGATGATTTGACCACCCTGGAACCTCCCAAAACAACTACTGAGCCCCACAGTACCACCATATACCCACCCAGCGACCCAAACGACGAATGCCACGGGTGCCCAGGAGGGCAGATCTGCCTCTCAATAATCCCGCCGTGTTACCGAGGTCCTAGCGAGTGTTTTAATCATGTGCCCGACCCAAGTCTAAACTGTGAACAGTACGTCTGCAAGCCCATCCCCATGTGCCTACCCTACTATTTTAGCGGTTGATGGTCATTTTGCGAAACGAATGTTTAAAGAAACAATGGCTTAGAGAAAAAAAAAGATACAGAAACAAAAAATAGCGTTATTTATTTATGTGTGTTTGTGTGTGTGTGTGTTTAAATATTGTTTCTTAAATAAAAGTTCATCAAAAGGTTTTAAAACACAGAAATGCTATATTTCTGCGATTCTTACCCCCAATAACTTAAATATGTAGGAAAGTACTCCCCCACTCACTTTTGCGTTAATTAACCCCGATCTTCACTTATCCTCTGATGTTTACGACAGATCACCCAGATAACATATCCAGGCAAAATATCCAATAAAGATCTGTCGTAACACATCAAGCTTCTGTGACGTAGATGTCTATGTAGACCTATGTTGTGAACACAATGACACGACGTTACGGGTGACCAAGTGAGTCGCACAAATATTTAAGACAAACAACAACAAACGTGTTACAGAACACAAGACTAAATAAAACAAAGTCACAATACGAAATTATAGCTGGACACAATTCACAAAAGTAAAACACCAACCTAGGATACAGTGGCCACCGAACTAAAGTGCCCAGCGCTAACCTACACTAACCTACACTAACCTACGCTAACCTACGCTAACCTACGCTAACCTACGCTAACCTACGCTAGCCTACGCTAACCTACGCTAACCTACGCTAACCCACGCTAACCCACGCTAACCCAAACTAACCCACACTAACCCACACTAACCCACACTAACCCACACTAACCCACACCAACCCAGACCAACCCGCACCAGCCCGCACCAGCCCGCACCAGCCCGCACCAGCCCGCACCAGCCCGCACCAGCCCGCACCAGCCCGCACCAGCCCGCACCAGCCCGCACCAGCCCGCACCAGCCCGCACCAGCCCGCACCAGCCCGCACCAGCCCGCACCAGCCCGCACCAGCCCGCACCAGCCCGCACCAGCCCGCACCAGCCCGCACCAGCCCGCACCAGCCCGCACCAGCCCGCACCAGCCCGCACCAGCCCGCACCAGCCCGCACCAGCCCGCACCAGCCCGCACCAGCCCGCACCAGCCCGCACCAGCCCGCACCAGCCCACACCAGCCCACACCAGCCCACACCAGCCCACACCAGCCCACACCAGCCCACACCAGCCTACACCAGCCTACACCAGCCTACACCAGCCTACACCAACCTACGCCAACCTACACCAACCTACGCCAACCTACGCCAACCTACGCCAACCTACACCAACCTGATTGATGTAAAGTGCTGTACTGATGCGAGCAAAGAACGCTAACACAGAGCTTTTATACTTTTACACAGCAAGTACAAACCGGACTATGACCACGTGATTAAGACAGCTCACAACACGAGGGGTAAACACTAGGGGACGGGACCAGAGTTTCTTTCAGGAATCTCTTCGAAAAAAGTCTACCAGGGTCCGATTCCCACCCCCTCCCCCGAGAAAAAGTCTGAAAAAAACAGGTTACTACGTACAAACAACATTCACCCCTTTCACCCCCTTCACTCATTCGCTATAACCACATTACAGATCGCTTTGTGGGTTTTATTACAGTATTTAATTTTTTTTTAAATTCTTAGACAAATGTAGAATCATAGTGCTTTTTTGTGCCTAATTAGGCAAAGTGACTAAGATAATGTTGGCGTGTTGTTGTTTTTAACCTACTAAATTTAATTTTTTTTTAAATTGATAAATGTTATAAAACGTGCAGTTAAGTTGTATTGATTACAAAATAAACCACAATAATTGCGGGGGCAGCGTGGTCTGGCGGGAGAGCGTATGGTTGCTCATCTAAACGCTCCCGGTTCGAGACCCTGGTTACACATATTTAGACAAAGGCAAATGTAAACTATTGGTATCCGACATTTTTTTTAAAGAAACGTACTATATATTTTTTATTATTTGATTATGCATGTTGCATTTAATAAAAACTATGTGAAACTGTTTAACTTGCTTAGGTTACTATAGAGGATAGTGCTTAAAGGAAATGAATTTGACATATAGTAAAGTTATTAAAAATGGATCAACTTCTGCAGAAAGCTAGCTTAAAATTAAAATAAAAAGACGAAAACAGTGGGTTTTTTTTTTATTTAAAAAAATTCACTTTTAAAATCCAAGTACCACTAATATTAAAATGAGTATTCGAAAAGTATAAATATCTGCATTCGGCCATCAATTAAACCACCGCAAAAAAAATAAAAAAATAAAAAACTTGTCATAAACACTGAACACCTAACAACATGTCCTTGTAGTAACAAAGTAACTACAATTTCAAATATCCACATTTCACAAACACATCACAGTTGCTATAATCAAATGTTATAAACAACCAAACATGACATCGTAGTAACAAAGTCACTACAATATCACATTTCATAAACAGATCACAATCGTTATAAACAAATGTTAACATGAGAAGTTACATTTACATGAATTGTAAACAAAACCATAAACATGTTTATTATAAGCCACAATTAATTACTTTTAAAAAGCTTCCAAGAAGCTATTGTACTGGCAACCTCTATTTAGTCTTCACACACCTTACACTAATATTCTATACTAAGAAAACGAGTGGGAAGGGGAACAGGTTTGTAATATTTGACGTGTTACAAAAGGAAGCAATTAATTACTTAAATCTTGACGTCAAATAATAGCTAACGTGGATAAAAGGTTTCAAACTGTCAACGCAGGGCAGCTATTGAATTAATAACCAATACGTTTCACAGTTGCGCAATGCATAATATTAGCAAAACAAATTGCCGGAGAGGCTTTTTTTTCTTTACAACGAGCATAACATGCGTTAAAATATACAGGTAACGTGAACATAACCCCACGGCAAGAATGTACAAGTTCGGTGACCCCACGACTCACTGGTCATGTTGACAACATTTCAGGATACATAGGATGGTGCGTCACCAGTATCCGTGTGGGTGACGCGGATATATTTATATCCGGAGGTAAAGTTGAGGTGTACCAGGTCACGTGACCGAGGTAACAGGTACAAATAGGGCGAGAAAATTATTGTCTGCATCCAGTCTATACATCTACATTACATCATAATGGCTTCATACCTCATTCTCTGTGCTGTCACAGTAAGTAACTGACAGTATAGAAATATATATATATGTATATACATATATACATATATACATATATACATATATACATATATATATATATATATATATATATATATATATATATATATATATATATATTTGGGCTAGGTTATATACATATATATCCGACATTTAGTTTATCTCTGTCTCTCTCTCTCTATCTCACTCTCTCTCTCTCTCTCTCTCTCTCTCTCTATATATATATATATATATATATATATATATATATATATATATATATATATATATATATATATATATATATATATACTGACAGATCATTCTTCTTTACTTACAAATTTTACATGTAGTTGCCTCTACTTAAGTAAACGATTTTTCGTATTTTAATAAATGTTTGCTTTCTGCCTTTCAGGTGTGCACACTGTTTTTACAGGTAAGCGAAAGTACTTACGTGTAGTTTCTATTGTGGTTGATTTATAATAAATCCATGCTGTTGTGGGTTTAAACATAAGATGAAGAAAAAATAATAAAAAGTAGTTTTAAAATTAGTCATATTGTATACTTTTTATACAAATGTTTATGAAGTATTTATTTTTTAAACTATGTTTTAAATTTAACTCTTTCTTTTTTTTTATTGCAGGCCCAAGCATGTATGTATTATTTCACTGTTGTCATTTAATTCGTGCATTAAATTGTCAAATTATAATACACTTTTAGGCTATTCTTACATTTTAATGATAAATGAATGACTAATTAAGTTTATCGTTACACATATCTAGTTATATGCCTGTGTGTATGTTCGTGTGTGTATGTGTGAGTGTGCGTATGTTCGTATGTGCGCGTCTGCGTGTGTGTGTGTATGTGTGTGTGTGTGCGTGTGTGGATAGCATTGTGTATGAACAATTTAGAGAGTGACTCGATTATTACGCTGAACAGACTGAACATGCTGACCATCACATATCTACACTCAATTATGAGAACCACTAACCTTAATGTTCCATTCCTTCTATTTTTAGTTCTACCCTTCCTCGACCCCTGTTCCAACTTTCCCTGTTACAACGGGGGTCAATGTACGGCCCCAGCTGACGCCCCCTACTGTGTGTGCCCACCTGATTACACTGGGGCTAATTGTGAAACCAGAGTGACGTCTTCTGAGAGATGTCCAGTAAGTCTTTTTTTACAGCATATTAATTTTAAAATGTAATACATATACATATAGGGGACGGAGTGGTCTAGCGGTAAAGAGCTGGACTGCTAACCCGTAAGTCTCGAGTTCGAATCCGGGTTCAAATCAGTAGTCCATCTCTGAGTCCACCCAACTCTGATGGGTACCTACCTCACGTTAAGGAAAGTTAAAGCTGCTGGCTATAGTGCTGACCACACTATCACTTCATATGCCGAGGTCACAGAAACAAGTGAACTCTACTATAGACCGTCAGGTTTGAAAAAGGAACTTTTTTACTTACATATACTTATATATGAATCATCTCCTTTCCCTTTTCTGCCTAAGACACGTGACCGACACAAAAAAACTCCCTCCACTTTTGTCGGTCTTCCACAATTTTCCTGGCAGTCCCCCATGACAGTCTGCCACTGCTTCCTCGCTGTGCGCCTTCACGTCTCCTTTGACCGTCCCTGCTTTATTTTTCCTTGAGGCGCCCAGTTTAGCGCCTTTCCCGCGATATCATCGAAATTTATTCGTAGGACGAGCCCCCTCCAGGGCCATTATACATATGCATAGAAACATTAATACTATGGGTTAATCATCTATTACCGTTCGTGCCCAAAAGACAAGCGGCGTCTGTTTAAATGACCTAGGAATACGAGGGGATGGTGTAATCCGCACTACTCTCAGTCGTCTTTGTTTCGCTAACGTGACTCGGTTGCTCATCATAGTTAAGATGGACTCAGTACCGTCCTACAGACTAGAGCCAGGGTTCCGAACTCGAGACTTTTGGGTTAGGAGTCATAAGCTCTACAATTCGACCACGCCGTCCCACATAACTACATATGCCAGTAAATAGCGGAAGTTTACTACGCCAATATGACTTTCGTACACCTGCATATAATGCTGAGTGTGATACATTTTACAGGTGATCGAGCCAGGCAGTGTTGGAGTGTGTGGAGGAATCCTCTGCTCAGATGACAGTCATTGTCCAAGTGGTCAGATGTGTTGTGATAGTGCTTGTGGTGCCCCGCTGTGTACACCCGTGGACACTCCCACCTATCTGGTAACTACATCAATACATAATCTTGGTAGTTTTGTTAGTTTTTTTATAACTAATTGATCATACTTTTATCCATTTGTTGACTTTGTTATTGAACGTAGTCCTAATTAAAATATATCGATTGAATATTAATGTATACTAATGGTCACATTGGGAATGTTATGGCGTAAGAATAAGACGAATAATTGATAACTCAACATATAAAAAAAATAACATCAAATGTTTCACAACATGTTGGGTTTGTTTAACATTGAGTAACACAAGCTTATTTGTTTTTATGACGAATGTGATTTTCTTTTTATAGTAGAGCAAAAAAAGGCTACCGGTTTTAAGTATTGCATAGGATGTAAACCCTACATACTGTAGAATATAAACAATACAAAACATGCCGTCTATCTCTACCTTACTCCCCTCTCTCTGGGTCTAACACTTCGTCTCCCCCGCACTCCGCTCCATCAGTTACCCCCTGGTCATTTCCACCTCGTCATCACTCCTAGTATCAATTAACCCCTCTTTCAACTACACCCCTTGCCCATTACCCTATCCTCAGAATATTGGTCACACCTATCCCTATCCATCTCCATACGCATATCTATCTCCCTATCCCTAACTCTATTTGTCAACGAAATCCTTCTCTAATCATATCCTTATCCTATCATTGCCCCTGTTCCAAATCACAACTATAATCATATCCCTACCCCTGTTTCCAACAATATCATTAACCATAATCCTATCCTACCCATTACTTATTCTAAGCCTATCACTATCCGTATCTACTTCCGTAATATTCTACTGCAGTGATTTGGGGGGGGGGGGGGGGGGTAAGTGTAGAAATGGGGGGAGGGGGGTCGTACGTCACTGACATAGGTTCAATGTCGGGTGCGGGTAAAGTCTTGCTTCCCCCCCCCCCACCTCCACTATCGTTATAAACTGTCAATGACACGTGACTCAAGTGCTAGCAAAAGTTTCCAGTTGTTCAGTTGAGCTAACCACATTTCTGTCTTTCTCTTCACCCGTTGTTCAGTTGAGCTAACCACATTTCTATCTTTCTCTTCACCCGTTGTTCAGTTGAGCTAACCACATTTCTATCTTTCTCTTCACCTGTTGTTCAGTTGAGCTAACCACATTTCTATCTTTCTCTTCACCTGTTGTTCAGTTGAGCTAACCACATTTCTATCTTTCCCTTCACCTGTTGTTCACTTGACCTAACCACATTTCTATCTTTCTCTTCACCTGTTGATCAGTTGAGCTAATCACATTTCTATCTTTCTCTTCACCCGTTGTTCAGTTGAGCTAACCACATTTCTGTCTTTCTCTTCACCTGTTGTTCAGTTGAGTTAACCACATTTCTATCTGTCTCTTCACCCGTTGTTCAGTTGAGCTAACCACATTTGTATCTTTCTCCTCACCTGTTGTTCAGTTGATTTAACCACATTTCTATCTGTCTCTTCACCCATTGTTCAGTTGAGCTAACCACATTTCTATCCGTCTCTTCACCCATTGTTCAGTTGAGCTAACCACATTTCTATATTTCTCTCCACAGCCCGATCCCAGGTGTGGCGTGTGTCGTATAGGTCAAATCTGTGTCAACACAGGTATCGTGTGTGTCCGATCACCTTGCCCTGGTCAGAGGTACAGTTGCGTCGACCCCAGGTGAAAACCTTCTTCTGCCAAGAATATATGCCTGTGTCCAATAGTTCAACTTATTTAATTTTTACCTACTGATGTTTTATATATTTTGTTACAATGATAACCAGTACATTCGCTCGTCAATTAAAACCATAACCTTATAAATCGCTATAAATAAACAGGTTATATACAAAACTGAATCCTTGCTGTGTTCTGTTTGTGTCTTCAATAATATTTCTATACTGGTTAAAGGCACCGTTGCCTCTAAATGATTTCTATTTGAGAAGAATCACCTTAGATCTGACTTTTATTGTGACACAATTTATTTATTAGAGAAAGTGCTAAAGTTGTTTCAATTTGTAAGGAGAATTAAACTCCAAGTCTATTCTTTTATGAGGTTTGGAATAAAAATACTGGACGAAATATCTCTGTACGTAACTCCCTCCCTTAACACACACAGTGTACAATTTATCAAGAAATGTATAAATTAACGTGGAATAAAAATGTATGTAAAACGGAGCTTAGTAATATAAAATCATATATTGATAGCTTTTGGGGTTAAAATTGTGGTTTTAGTGTTGTTTTTCAATGTTCTATTATATCAAGATACCCCATTTTTGTTATTGATTAGTAGGGTACCCATTAGGGCTGAGTAGACTCAGGAACGTCGTTCTAACTCAAGCTAGAGAACTCAACTAAAACATTACGTGTTAGTAATCGTCAGAGGCATTGCGAGGCGGGGGCGGGGGTGCGGACCGCACCGGGTGACACCATTAATGGGTGACACCAAGACAAAAAAAATTGCAAGATATATAGAATGCATCTTTTTTTTTAAATTAGGGTTAAAAAGTATTTTAAGTACATAATGACGATCCAGACTAGGGAGGGAAAGAAGTGACACTCCGAGAGGGAGGAGTGACACCAACTGCAAAATTTACAGAGAAAAAAATAGGGGGGGGGGGTGACACCAACTTCAAAATTTAGGGGGGGGGGTAACACCATGAGATGCCGCACCGGCTAACACCCAACGTAGTCAAGCCAGTGGTGCCGAACATAGAATTATGGAGAAAGACAAGACAGGAGCTATGATAGCGCAAGTAAGGAGGAAGTGGCTCACCCAAATGTAACACAGCAGGCGCTTGAGTAGAACCCCCAGGGAAAGCGGAAGTGAGGGCGCACAAGACAGACCTGGAGGCGGAGTCTTCTTGAATAACTGAAGCCAACAGGGATGTCGTGGGATGCTGCAAAATCAATAGCCGGGGATCGGAAGAAACGGAAGGAAATGGTGGAGGCCCTATGTTCCTTAAGGAGCAAAGAGGACTAAGTCAAGTAATCGTGCACTCCACCACTCCACCACACCCCCACAAAATTGTATCAGCACTCATGTAATATGATAACTATAAAGATTGGAGTCAGAAAATCATATTATCCTTTCCACAAAAAATAAATATTATAGTTGTATCTTCGTTTCGTTTAATGGTGTTAATTAACCGAAACTTATTTGGAGATCTGGATATATTACTATCTTACATCCTGTGCCTTTTTTTCTGCCATCCTTAAATTTTCGCATATTGCCGGAGAACGAGAGTGCATATATATCTATATATATATATATATATATATATATATATATATATATATATATATATATATATATATATATATACATATTTATATATAAACTCCGACTGTTAAGAATGCTCCTAAAACATATTGTGTAGCCAGTTTCTAACCTCTTACCCTCCCCTAATCCCCCTTCCCCCACAAGGCAGCATTTAAAAACAAACGCAATCCTCGTGTCAATCGAAGCTGGAGAATACCGGCAAACTGTAAACACGTTTGTTGATATCAGCTTTGCCTGACGTTGATATGCACTACTTAATTAAACAAGCAAAAAAATGTGGAACGTTATTTCGTGTGAGTCACCCACATGGCTGAAACCCTATACGACATTATCAGATATCTACAAATAATATACTTGTCACATCCGTTTGCTATATAAGAATATGTTTAACCTAATGTGATTAACTTACACAAAGGAAGATCCTCAACGTTGAAGATGATGAATTCGTGGCAATTAGTTATTCTGTTGGTGATATCTTTAGTGGTGACCACTTCGTCGCATGTGATGAGCAGACAGGTCAGTGCGTATCATAAAAAATGTATGTTCAGATGTATAAAGTTGTTAAAGCGTTCAAACCACCTTGAAATTGGTTTTCTTTATTTAAAGAAGATTATTTTTAAAATAATAAAAAAAAATTTGTTTAAATGTAGTTTTTATCCAATACCGGATCTGAAAACGAAATAATGCTAAACCTAAATCTAAACGTCATCGCATGCTTGGTTTTATCGTTCTAAGCAAAACACGTATAAGACCTTTATATAACAGGTTTTGTCATTTTATTTATATTTTTTTACAAAAAGCTCTAGTGCATAAATTTGGTATGAGGGAAAAATATAGGTCATATATCTTTTTATTTTTTTTTTATTCGCCTATTTGATTTATTGTTATTATCTAATTTTGATTGTTTTTTAAACGTTTGAGTTTTTAATTAAAACGATTAAATAATGTCTTACAATGTCATCATTATAATTAAGCTAATGTCTTAAACTAAAGATTTTCGCACGAAGAGATCTAGCAAGTGGTACCTTGACCAACCCAGACATCCCTACCACCACCAAGCCCATCACCACCACGATTCCTATCACCACTACCACCCCATCTAGCAATCGAAACAACGCTTGCGGTGGATGCCCAGCGAGGCATAACTGCAGATTTACTATATGGCCCTGTTACCGCGGTCCTTATGGATGTTTAGGGAGTAATCCGGACCCAAGTCTCCACTGCGAGAGGTACATCTGCAAGCTCATCTGGATGTGTGTGGACTGGTGATGAATACATTTCACAGCAAAAAAAAAAATTTACAATTTTTTTTTTAATAAAACAACACATCAACAACGTTGTCTACGGGTTGGCAGATGTTTTTTTTTTTAATATCAAATCTCGTTTTTTTTTTATATTTGCCAGCTAAACGGTTTCAATTTTCTTAACTGAAAATAAGAAAAATAAGAACATTAAATATTCTTTTATTCATCAACTGTGTTTGGGTCATTTATTTAAATAGTGTAATTATTTAGACGAATGCAGGCTTTTATGTAATATTTTGCATAAAATAATCAAATAATCTATCTATCCATAATTCTCTACGTGGGGACCATGCGGGACACCACCACCACGTACGCACGCCTAGCATCCCCCTAGCTCGCTCTCCAGGCATATTGCTACCATCCTCACCCCCACCCGTCTGATGAGCTGTGGTTCACCCCAAATGTTTACAATCGTAGAGCCGGGTCAAATTGGTGATGGCTATTAGGGGCAGATAATTTAGTTTGCAAACGATTTGAAACTAAAGGGAGGTAACAATTTCTGCTTGATATTTTTTTGTCGTTTGTAAACTATCGTCACAAACGGCTGCTTTCACACGAGGGGGGGGGGGGGGGTGTAGTGTCGAAATCACAAATTATGAATTAATGAGAAGTAGAAGATAAATCAACTAAGTAGTGGCGGGTCGGCTCGTATCATTATGATAAAGTAAATTCTTTTTATTTAAATATACATCTTTACAACTATTTCTAATAACGTATAAAACGATATTTATGACTTATAAGACAATGGGGTTCGCAATCATACGCTATCCTGACCAACCACACCGTACCCTCTTTCATAAAATAAAACTTTAAGATTTTAAAAAACAGGATATAGAAACTGCTTAATGAAAGACATGATGTCATACCTCTATGATTAAATATTAAAAGTAAATAAAAGAAACATCAGTAAAAGTATTTTACATCTTTATTAGTCTATTGAAAAGACAACACAATTTAAAACTTTAAAAAAAGTAAGCGCGAATTGTAGGAATAAGGATAGTATACACATATATTAACCTTCATAGATAAAGAAAGCTTTTAAAAAAGGAAATAAAACAGAAACTAGTCACTTGTAAAGAAAAGATAAGAACTGCAATTGGATAGATAATAAATAGGCTGTGTTCCTTAATGCTTTATAGGCTGTACTAAATAATTAATAATACTTTTACAGCAGCAAAGAGCTATTAATACACTCATAGAAGGCCAAAGATAATCTCATTCTCGATTCGTTTAGCCTCTCTACAACATTACAAGGTGTTGTGAGGTTAACTAGGATACTAGACATGATTTACTGCGTCAAAGTCATAATTGTCTGCCTTGGACTTGTGGTTCGTTACCTATCATCTTACTGTATAGATTAATACATATAATACTAACACAAACACACACACACACATATATATATATATATATATATATATATATATATATATATATATATATATATATATATATATATATATAGGCCTATAAAAATGTATCATATAATAGCTGTTATATATGATGGCAGATGAAAAGATTTAGTGTTTTAACAAACAAAATTCCAAATAGCGAATTTTTTTTTGTCAAGCAGAATAATTTTCAAATTGTTTTGGTATTTAGCGAATACTTTGATGTGCCAGAAATGATAAACAATTTAAATCAGCATTAGATGTTGAATTTAAAACAGAGATCGAAATGCGCACATTTCGTTAATACACTAAATGTCCGTTTTTCTTTCATTTTTCCACGGGGTAGTTGGAGGACACAAAGAACTTTCGATGGGGGAGGGGGAATTAAATCTAGAGGAGGGCGGACACTGGTTGAAGTATATACTTTGTAAATAAATATTCAATTTTATATCGTTGGGGGGGGGGGAGCGTGCTTCCTAACATGTGCTTGAAAGAAACTCTGCTAACTGCAAATGAGTATAATGAAAGCTAGTTGAGTGAGTTGCTAGGAGGCTGAGTTTATGAACGTTAAATTTATTAACGTTCCTAAATCATATGTTTACCATGGCAAGATTGTAATTTCCCTAATTTATGTATCTGAAGGTTGTAACACTGGCTGGCCAATCACGTGATGTTTCGACGACCCTAGAACCTCCCAGCACCACCCCTGAGACGACAAGACCCCCCGTCACCACCCTATACCCGCCCAGCGACCCCAACGACGAATGCCACGGGTGCCCACCGGGGCAGATCTGCCACACAATGATACCCCCCTGTTACCGAGGTCCCCGCGAATGCTTTGAACCCGACCCGGACCCAAGTCTCCACTGTGAACAATACGTCTGCAATCCTATCCCCATGTGCCTGGACCCTTATTTTCTCGGGTGAAGTCTTGTTTCCGAAACAGATTGTTTTAAGAAAACAGTAGCTTTGAAAAAATAAAACAAAACAATAAATGAACTACGTTGTTTTATATGTGAGTGAAAATGTGTGTTAAATAATATTATATATTGTGTCCTTTTCTTCACTAATCACAGTCTTACCCCCCCCCCCTCCCCCGTGATAATTACCCTCGATCACTTTTCTCATCACAAGCTGAAATACCTTCTCCCTGTTTTCAATTAACCTGCCCCATATTTATACCCCCCGCCCCAACCCCTCGGGTCCACTCTCACGGATACAATATAATTTAAACCCTACTTGTAACTGGCTAAGGAAAAACAAGTTAATAAAAAGTCTAGTGACAATTTAAGCGCAATTTCCTTAATTAATTTTTTGTGGCCGAACGAAAGGATATTTTCGAAAACTTTCTTCGGCAATATTGTTCTAAATTATGGCAGGAATCGATTGGTAAATGTTTCAAGTCGCTAAGTGGTCTGGTTGCCGAAATATGTGCCAAAAACTGCATTTTTTCGAGGTTTTTTTTTTGGCTTTTCCGGGAAATCCAGGAAGGAATTCCGGGAATTTGTTTGGCCCACAATTATCCTCGGAACTTGCTTAACATATTTGCTTTTGGAACTAGTCCTCGGTATTGCTTCGTTGAGGAGGAGATACGATTTAAAGCTGCTGCGGACACACATCCATTGCGGACACACATCCATCCAGAAATGACGAGTTAATAATCGCAATTCCTGTAAGGAAATTACGCTAAAAACCAGCACTCACGAAATAAATAAAAAAGATGTCTAAGAGAAACTCTGAGTATGATTGTCTTCGATTAGCAATTGGATAGTGTCACTTGTCCGTTCAATCTTTGCTGTTTTTTCTTGATAATGATTAGCAAATATTTAAAAAAAAAAAACTTCCACATTAATGATACTTTCGCTGACATTCTTATTTTTGTATATGATCCGTGTATGAAATACCCTACAAACACCCACACAAAAAATACCACACAACTACCACACAAGCAAATAGTACAAACAAATACCATACAAATAAATACCACACAAACAAATACCACACAGAAATACACAAACAAATACCACACAATCATACACAAAAATCATACAAACACACTCATACAGATACAAAGATACACAAAAATACTAATAATAACGGTAAGTTAAACATTGACAACGGTCTTATTTCTTACTGTAAAAAGTAATTTGAATAAAAAAATAAAACATTGACAGTATTTCGTAGGCATTAAATTAACTTAAGAAAAATATTCGAAATTGATTTTCAATTATTTTTTTTTCTCCTTTAATTTCAATTTTAAAACAAAATTTCAATTTTTGAAGCATGTCATAAATCTGTAGAAGGTATAACCCGTTAGTGTGAACTTAACTATCAAACAAATCGAAATATTGACACAACTGCAAGGGGGGAAATAATTAAATTAAATATCAATTAATTAAGAAAATTAATGTACAAATTTAAAAATAATAATTTTCGAACAGTTTTTGTTTTAACCCTAAATGTAAACTGTTGTTTCTCCGAACGTAATAACTATGGGGTTAAACTTCCCGGGAACAATCTGTCCTATGTTGATCAATTCTTACCATAGAGCAAAAAAGATATAATAAAATTAAAAAAATAAAAAATAAAACGATAATATTAAACAAAGAGGAAGCATCGAAGAACTTGACTGATACGAAAGTTGACTGAGTCCTATTACGCCGCGTTACCAATGCTGAAATTTTATTTTTAAAAAAATATGTGAAAAGATTAAATATAAAACGTGTTTTAAGCAGAGATATTTTTAAATACAAATATGTTTTCTTACGCTGCTGAAACGATTAAACCCAGGATCAGAGTGATCAATTCTAAGATGCTTTGATAAAAGTCAATAACTTCTGATTTTTTTTCCTGCAAATAAACATAAGCGCGTAAGTTTAATACATACATGTTTCCTCTTACTACTGTTCAAGCTAATAATTAATTCTGTCTATTACTGCAACAAAACTAGTTCTTACCATCATCTTTTGGTCTTTTACTTGCTTTAAAGACGTGCAACAGTTTTACATCTGCGAAAAAATGATACCAACCACATTTTGTAGCGGGTTTCTTTTTGATCATGTGATCCTACAATATAAAAAAAATAGATAATTTGTATGGCAGTATATATATATATATATATATATATATATATATATATATATATATATATATATATATATATATATATATATATATATATATATATGTATCGATGGTCTCTGTCATAAACCGTCTATATAAAAAAAAATTCACTTTTTCTTTTTTTACATTAATCAAAAGCCAGTGTGATTCCCAATAATGCCTGAAAATATCATAGAAATCTGTAGATTGATTATCCAGATATAATCATTTGAACAAACGCCTATTATTTCTAGTACTAAAATACCGTTATATTTGTCAGTACAGTTTTGATCGGAAACGCAGTCGCACGCTGCAATCACACGATTTTATATCTATATATATATTTATATATATGTGTATATATATGTATATATATATATATATATATATATATATATATATATATATATATATATATATATATATATATATATATATATATATATAAACACATGAGTTACTGTAAAAATTGGACCTACATAAACATCTCCAACAGACGTCGAAGACAGCCCAGCATCAATCTCTATTCCTTGTTCAGCTTGAGACTTCCCATTACACACGAGCCGCGATTATTGATAGCAATATACAAGAAGATTTGAATTAAATTACTAACCAGGAAATTTAGATGGGAATGTTTTCTAATATTCCTCCTCGAATTTCAATTATTTAAATGTAAAATTGAAATTATAGCATATAGTATTTACTAAAACATTGTATTCTATTTTACTTTCTAATAAGATTCTTAAATCATATCATGAACTGTACATTACCACATTTGAATGTGTTTGGGCACATGACGTTTTGTAGGTCGGCACAGTCGACTCCGCACACACCGTCTAGGCATTCTGTGAAGTTACTACTTAGTTGTTTATTTATTTTATACAGGAGTAAAGGAGTAAATGTTTCCATTTATTGCATTCAGTTCTTTCCAACTGCTGGTAACATTATGGGCTATATATATATATATATATATATATATATATATATATATATATATATATATATATATATATATATATATATATATATATATATATATATATCCGTGTCTATGTCATTGTCCATATCTGTGATCTTTCAACGTCCATGGCTACGACGGTCAAAGTCAAATCCAAGATCAAAGGTCAAGGACCATGTTTGTTAATGCCTGTGTCTGTGCCTATTTCAATACCATGTGCTTGTGTCTCGGTTTTGGTTAAGGTTTAGGTCTTGGTAGGTCTACGTCTAACTGTTGGTTTAATCTAAGTTAAGGTCTATGTGCGCTTTTTTTCATGTCATGTCCATCTTATATCTATCTTAATCAGTTGTTTTTGTGTGTCCAACTTTAACGTTTTATGTAATATACATATCAGTATCCTTTTTACTATTCTGATCAATTTTTTGTTGATGTTTATGTTTATACCTCGATATACATCTAGATCTATATCAATATAGTATTTAAGACATTTTTTGTAATCACGAAATGGGGTTTTTAATCGGGCATACAACTGTTGTATTGTTTCCGAAAGAGCGGGCGCCTAAGACATATCTGAAGACGAAGTCTATCTGAAGAACATAAAACCGCAAGGATATTTTGTGAGAGGACAAATTCATAACCGAGAACTAGACCAGAGGCGTAGCGAACCTTCCCGGCGCCCGGGGACAAACTTTCGATTTGCACCCCCCTCAAACTTTCGATTTGCACCCCCCCCCCCCCTCGAACTTTTCATTTGCACCCCCCTCCTCAAACTTTCAATTTGTTTTTCCAACCCGTTTTGGCGCCCCCCCCTATGGTCGGCGCCCGGGGACATATGCCCCCCCCCTCGCTACGCCTCTGAACTAGACAATATGGATTGTGATTGAGGCCCCACAAAGAATAGATAGCAATCAAGTTAAATACTACCAACCAGTTATACAAGCAGGAAGGGCGGCGGCCATAAGAAGATACATATAGATGTAATCCATGAGAATGAGATACAATTTTCTTACATCAAAAATGTCAATCTCTAGCCTAAACTACATTGAGGTAAAAACGTTTTGACTTCCGTTTGTCTAGGCGAGAAGCGATGTGGTGAATGGAAATTCATTAAGATTGTTATAAACAAAAAAAAAATGTGCAAGTTTGATAAAAATGTAAATGTTAAAAAAAAAGGAAAACATTTGTAAAATAACGTTTTAATAATTAACTTTATACACTAAAAAGTAGCAAAACAATGATTTTACTTTATTAAATAATGCTCTACTAATTAAATAACTATAAAGAAAAGCGTGGGTCGCTTCTTAAATTTTAGTCAAGGTATTCAATATATAGGCTAATAGGCCTATGGTGACATATGCTTTTCAGAGTTTCTTCCAGGCATCTCAAGCCAATTAAATCAAATCTTATGGGACATCAAAGAAAATAAGAATATTTTTGACAACACTGAATGGAGAATTTATAGACATGCATTATACGTTAATATAATTGGTTTCTTTTCTTAGTTCGAAACGATTCATCTACTAACCAAGTCACCTTCCAATTTACATTTGAAAAAAAAGCCTCCGCCCCCCCCCCTCCTCCACCCACTTCGGAAACGCTGGTCATCGGTTTTAACCGTCAATGACCGGTATTTATTTTAATGTTACGCAATGAAGGTAGATAAAAAGGTGTGTAGAGTATTAACTTTGACTGTATATAATTCAACGCTGCAGTTTGATATTAGATTAGTAGTTTTTCTTTTACCCCTTTTGGCGCCCCACTTATGCTTGGCACCTTGAGCGGCCGTCCTATCATAACCCCCCCCCCCCCCCCCCTCCCAACCCCAGCTTTTGGTTTAATCTTAAATTCATATGATTTGTTAACAAACTTTTCACTGAGCTAGATATTGGAACTCATACCCAACTGGGGGGAGGCATCTGATTTTTAATTCATATGGTTTAATCGAGCATAACCTTTTACTGGTGTCAAACTTGGCTAGGTGGTTTTAAAGGTGTTTTTACATAGCTGAATTACATTTCGGTTGTCTGTTTTGAATACGGTACCTAGAACTAGACAGCATTTTGGTTGCCGTACAGTTCCAGCAGTTAAAAATTCTGCAGCTGACAAAGTCAATGCGAATCTGTTATAAAACCTACTAGAGTCTAGAATCTACAGAGTACAAAGTACAGAGGCACTCACAAGTCCATCAAAATCTAAAAAAAATTTCTGGTTAATCTAAATTCTAGTTTCTAAACTCTGAATTATTTTTTTTAAAGCAGAGGCGAGTGGTTGCTCTGCAGTTCAGCTGCTAGCGTATTGCGTCACTTGACATTTTTTAATGATTTTTAGATCTAGATTCTAGATCTAGTTTCTAGAATCTAGATCTAGTATTTAGGCCTACTTTGTTATTTAGTTTTAGTTAGGCCTAAGTAATAAGTATTTTCTAGATCTAGATCTACTTTTTTAGAATTTAGACTTAGATAATTATTATTAGAGTGTGGACGGCCGTGACATTGCACACACAAGAAATTTTCACAGATATCTTTAATTGGTAAAATCTTAGTTTAGCGTCGTAAATTCGGCCAAAACTAGTAATGTGGGAGAGAGTGAACTAATGAATATGTCATTAAATATAAGTATATTTTCGTATATTTTTATAAAATATTATAGATAATTGAATAATAGATCACCATTTATGATTAAATCAATTTAAATATCCTGAAATTAATTTTTATCAACCCTGTTCGAGATAGTAAATCTGCTATTAAAAACAGCAGCCATCTTGAGAAAATGTTATTTAGAGTAGCTTCCCTTTCATTTCTATTCGTATGAAAATGTATTTACTATTTAAATATGATTGTCTTGTTGTATAGTCCGTATTACAAAGCATTTTTTTTTTAATTCTGCCCTTTAAAAACTGAATTTCCTAACAAACAACTTTATTAATTCTAGAAGCATTGTGAAATGCAACTTGTATCTATGTATTAAATCACGTTTTTTTAACTAATGTTTATTTGATCTTACTATTACTATAGTTTGAGTTTTTTCTTATTGTTTGAATGACTATTTTCATTTCAGGTTTTTCTTTTCATCAATTAGTGATTATATCGTAACTTATGACATTTTTTTACTTCTCTTTACCTTAATTAAACCCCAACCTCCGTCATATTTTTGTTGTCAATGTCACAACAAGCAGAGGCGTAGAGACCCTTCCCGGCGCCTGGGGACAAACTTTTCGATTTGCACCCCCCTCAAACTTTCAATTTGCACCCCCCTAAGTCTTTCAATTTATTTTTCCAACCCATTTTGGCGCCCCTTAAGGTCGGCGCCCGAGGACATATGTCCCTCCCCCCCCCCCCCCTCGCTACGCTACTGACAACAAGTCATAATGTAAAAAATTACGCTTCACTCTGCCTTATCTAAGATCTCTAACCATAATTTTGACAACATTAAATGTTTGTCATCATGTATATATACAGAGAGACAAAGTGTATTATCCACCAGCTTCCCTAGTAAAACATCATCTAAAACAATGAACCAGTCCACCCCTTAAGTGCGTGTTGTCATTGTGGTCCATCGCAAGTCTCCACCTGCCAGACACATTTTGGTTATCCTTTGTTGTCAAATTGTCAATATCAAGTACCCAAGTGAGTGATATGGGGTTGTCCATAAATGATGTCACATATGATTTGCTACGGGAGTGAGTAAAGATTTGTGACGTCAACTCAAGCGGCTCCGCAATTTATGACGTGTCGGTCTCATGAAAGGAGGTGAACGGGGAAAATACCTAGGTGGTTGACAGAGAACCTCTATAATGCTTCGTTCAATCAAAATAACGATAAAAAAGCATTAATATACGTATACCTTGCTCATCAAAAATGTTGCAAGCCTGCTAGTTTAAGACATTTTGCAAAACGGCCTCAACACATTATCCTAGTCAAAAAGGCTTGCTACCAAATGCCTGCCGACGAATAAGCCGCGTCTAATGCGGGGCGTTAGGAATACGGCCATTAGCATGGACCGCGTTAGAGCACCAGTAGGCTATCGCGCTTTGTAAGATGATACTTAAATTCAATTTCGCTAAACAGCGCGAAAATTTAGTAATGTTCCGTCGTTTGAGGAAATTTATTTTCTTGGACTTAAATTGAAATATCATGTTGACTGTCTGGCTCTTAATTTCCAAATATCACTTTTAATGTATCAAGATTCAGAACTATAATTTACTTTAATATAAGTGTCATCGTTTATTGTGCTTTTTATAAAGTGCAGAGCAGCTTCAAAATCGGACGGCCATCCTGTTTTCACCAAGCTTCTTTTGGAGCTTAATATGGGTAGTCTAGTTCTATACGGTGAGAGCTTAATACATTTTTAAAGGGCCGAAAGTCTCAAGACAGCAGAAATAACCACGTACGTTTAAATGGACGAGTGATAGATGTGTTAGGGGCTGTTTAATGAACACCAACTTATGTAATCAAATTAAAAGTCGCATAAGCGTCAAAACGGCAGTGCTTGTTTGTATTTTTCTATAAAATTAGCCTAACGGTCGGCGGTACCGGTATATGACATCACGCGCGAGCGTTAACTCGGGTGACGATGTGCTAAGTGGGGGAATGAAAAGGTGGGGTTCAAGAAATGCAACCCAGCATGCTTTTTACATTTCTTGACCCTTCTTAATAGTTCTATCGTCCCCACTGAGAAAATGGATCACCAATGAATGACGCGTCATACTTCTACAGCTGGTTTTTCTCCCACAACCATCCCCTGTTTTCACTTAAAAAAAACCTGACCTGTCTCCAAAATCATATCGCTGAGTTCTACTCAACCTCTCCCCACCACAAATCACAATTTCTATCTGAAACAATATGTTCATATGTTTGTTCTGTAATAATGCACGATGTCATTACTATCTTAAGAGCGACGTCATTTATGAGCGATCTAATATTGATTTGCAAATAAAGTGTTCAAAAGTTCGACCTCCCAACAATTGTTGTGGTCTTGGATGCACACTATTAAGTCTGATAAGGTTTATTAGTCATTCATGTCAACTATATTTTTAAAAAAAAGAAAAATTACTATACAGGGGGTCATCCATAAATGATGTCACGCTTTTTTTGACGATCTTTACCTCCCCCCTCCCCTCCGTCACAAAAAGCCAGACCCCCCCCTAAAATGACGTCACACCTTAGCCTACAACCCCCCCCCCCCTCAAAATTGCAGTTGAATTGTTTTTAAACAGCTATGTTTTTCCAAAATCTTGTCTGAACTCTGTCAAAACTGTTTTAATACATTATAATAACAATTGATTAATTGTTATTATAATGTATTAAAACAGTTTTCTAACATTACTTTTTTAAAATGCAAAAGTGTGACGTCGCACCATCTGAACCCCTCCCCCTCATCACACAACGTCACAACATTACGGACCCCCCTCCCCCCTACGAGTGTGACGTCATTTATGGACGACCCCCGGCATATATTAAAACAATACAAAACAGTCATATTAAACCACAAAATCAACACAAAAGACATGCGAATAGACAATTTATTGTTTTTAAAACATGGCCGCTGCTTGTATTTACTCATTGTTGTCTCAAACGGGGTAGTTTAAAGTTTATTCCAGGATATTTATGACTGGTTTGGTCTTGGATTGTGATTTGTTATTCAATTATCTGTTATATTATGTAAAATATGACATAAATATGGCCAAATGAATGAAATATTCATTAGTTACCTTCATCGCACATTACTAGCTACGTTGGAATTTACGACGCTAAACTAAGATTTTACCCTTTAATTAATAATAATTATAAATAATTAATATATCTTTGGCAAAGATTCTTTGCCTTTTACCACCACCCAAGCGCCTGTATAGTATTAGTATTGGGTGATGTGAAACAAAAATATCACCCACCTCTTGCAAATTACCACCTCGCTATTTCATTTTTTGCATCTCACAATTTACCAACACCTGCCCAGAAAAAAACTTAAGGAGTATGGAGGTAGAACTATCTTGAGTGACATTCCAAAAAATTACCATAGACTGGCAAAAGTGGAAAGAGCTTTCTGTTGTGTCCCCATGTGTCAACTGTCTTGTCCACAAAAGGAGAAAGATAATGCCAATATCAGTTATTGTACTAGTTACGATAATGGTGAAGCTAGCATTTAATTTTCTGGATAGCCTATATTCCATAGTCAGCTATTATAATGACACACTTTATTATAACATCATTTATGTGTTCTTTATTTTGTCTGCATTAAAAATTAAAAAATAATTCAATAACTTTTTTCTTACAGCAAAATTTGTTTTGATCGCAAGCAAGAAGATCTTGTAGCGTGCTGAACACAGAATGAAATGATAGAATGAGCTTGAAGCGTGTTGTGTGTGGCATTTCAGGGGGAGTAGACAGTGCAGTTGCTGCACTGCTGCTCAAAAGAAGAGGTAGGCATCTACAAATTCATAACCCTCTCACAACTTTTGTTATATCATTTGTTCATGTTAAACAGTTGCTGGATCATTAACTTTTAGGGTCTTATCATTTTATCTGGATTTGAATCAAAATAGAATCCATGGATAACTGAATTTTAAAAGGAAATTTCCAGTTTAAGAAGTATAAATGAACAAGTTTTAGTCAGAAAAATATTTAGTAGTTGAGAGATACAACAATGAAGAAAAATAAATTCATATTGAAATTCTGATTAAAAAAAAATTAAGTAATGTTCCTCTTTCAGAACTAATGATCCATAGGCCAGATGTAATAGAGTTCACCTGTTTATTATTATCTCAATATATGAAGGGATGGTGTGGTCAGCACTGCCCAGCCACCTTTACTTTCCCTAATTTGTCATATATCTATTAGACCCAAGTGGCCTTCCAGTTTAGCCGTTGTAAGCTCTACCATCCAAAATCAAATCTAAGGCTCTTATTAATGCTTTGTATTAACAACTCAAGTTAGAAGTTTTCCTGTTTTTAAGAAGTGTAATTAAATATGTATAATAAAAAACAATTTTTAGGTTAAAAATTAATTTACTTTTTCTTGCATTTGCTGTAGTCTGTAACAATTACATAACTTTTACTGGCATTAGCTGTTTAACAATCACATTACTTTTACCTGTGTTAGGTGAGTGACATATAAATTACATTTTTACTGCAGGTTTTGAAGTCGTGGGACTGTTTATGAGAAACTGGGATATCCGAGATGAAAAAGGCAAATGTTCGTCTGATGTGGATGAAGAGGACGCCGCCTGGGTGTGCAAAACTCTGGATATCCCATTCTTCCAAGTCAACTTTGTGAAAGAGTATTGGCATGAAGTGTTCAGGTAGTTTCATGGTTTTTATATATGTTAAAATGTCTCAAAAATTACCTGAGAAACATTATAGAGGATAAATTGTTAAGGTGGTTCTAAATATTGAATATGTCTTATACTGACTTGGAAAAAATTAGTTGAGGAGATGGAGATCTAGATTGACATTGGCTGATGTTAAGACAGTGTCTGGGAATGGACGTCAACGAGTTGACAAGAATCCTTCCATCCTTATTTATGACATGAATAAAAATCTTGTTTTGTCAATTTTGCCTTCATAAAAATCACTAGCACTTGAAAAAATGTAAAAAATTTAATGAAATAGATGCAAATGTAGAGAACGTTAAAATAATATTATTTTTTTATTTTTATTTATTTTCATCAAATCTAAATTGTAACGTAGCTGTAAATAAACTTGGTGATAGATCTGCTAAAACTCCACTTTCTAATAATTTTTACTCAAAACATTGGAGATAAAATTTTAAAATAAAATCATTAAATACATTCAATTTTTAGTAAAAGCCAACAAAAACAAAACAAATTGTTTTTGCCATGTTTATTTTAATAACGAAACACATGATTTTTTAAATATTTAAATTGCCTTTCAAATAATTTTGAGACTATTCTAGTTGGTGTCCATGTTCTGTATCATGTTTTCTGGGAAATAAGATTAAATGCGTTAAAGAAAAATGTTTTATTCCTACAGTGTAATGTTAATTTGTGCTAAAATTAGTTAACAAAATTAAAAAATCAACTTTGTCTAATAAGTCTTAGCTTTTGTCATCTTGATAGAGATAAATTAACCATTAGTTTGTAATCCTTTAAATGTAATCTAATGATGCATTGTTTTACCACAGTGAATTAATCAAGGACTACACTGAGGGGGTAACACCTAACCCTGACATATTATGTAATCGCCATGTCAAGTTCAATCACTTCATCAACCACGCTGAGAGTAAATTTGGCACCAATGCCATTGCCACTGGTCACTATGCCAAGACAAGTGCTGGCTATAACCTACAACAGATAGATCCAGACATTGGTATGTAGACATGGTGCGCAGTTTTAAAAAAATTCACTTTAATAATTTTAGCGCTTGTAGTTGTGTTTATCGTAAATAAACCATCACTGCACTTTTTGGTTAGTGTGTAGTTTTTTTTTCAGTTTTAAATTATACATTTGTAGTTATGTTATCATGGAAACAGTGGTAATATATTAATAATTTAATTTTAAACAAACGTTTTAATAACCAGCTTTTATATAATAGATGATTTTCTTTAAATATATGCACTACTATTATAAAATTGTATTTAGGATATTAAATATAGATACATCTGTTAGAATACTATTCTATCTTGTTATTTAAATATGTTTCACATTTCTTAGCTTTAGTAACATGTAATGTTTATTTAGCACTATACAAACAAAACCGTTGTCTTAGATTTCTATTTTTTCTTCTTTAGGTGTCACTTTACTCTGCTCTAAAGACACTGAAAAGGACCAAACATTTTTCCTCAGTCAAATCAGCCAAAAGGCCTTACAGAAAACAATATTTCCTGTTGGAGATTTGCTAAAGCATGAAGTGAAAAGGATAGCAGTGGAAGCCGGGATGGAGAGAATTGCCAAGAAAAAGGAGGTGAGCAAAATTATAAAATTTGGCCAGCTAGTAGAAATATTTCCTATTTTTTAAGAATGATAATCGCTCATTCAAAGTCAATTTAATCCATAGCTGAGTCAAGAATGCATAAAAAGTATCCATATGTGAACAAATTAAAAAATATATTTGATCTGATGTTCAAAGTCAGTTTGAATCACATGAAAAAAGGATTCAGAATAAAAGAAGTTTGGCTTTAAAAAATAATTGTCGGCTAAGTCAAAAATGCACAAAAAGTGTATCCATAAAATAAGTGAAGTCATTTTTTAAAATTATTTGATGTGATGTTGAAAGTCAGTTTAAATCACATGAGTAGAGGATTGTGTATAAAAGATATTTGGCTTAAAAAATAAAGGTAGTTTAAGTCAAGAGTGCTTAAAAAGTGTAACCAAATAAATAAGTGATGTTTAGAATGAAAACTAAGTTACAAACTGTTCTCCGTGTTTTGACTTGTTTCACACAAGTTTATCTTGGTTTACAACTGCACATAAACTTATCTGTACTGAAGTATTATAGACCAAAGTTAAGATTGGTCCTTGCAGAAATATGTTATTAGGTGTGATCAAAATGTAAATGATATTTCTGGGTTGCTGATTTTTTAAAAACAAGTAGTATTCATAATTAAAGAAAGCATTATAATAATATAATTGACTTGCTTTTGATCATATATGAACATAATTTGTTTATTTTTATAGAGTATGGGAATTTGCTTCATTGGCTCAAGAAATTTTCACAATTTTATTGAAGACGTAAGTAAATTGCACATTTTTAATAGTTAATATTTTTGTTGTGTTTTGCAATCAATTTTTTTTTTACTTGAAATTCAGATCTGTTTTGTAAACAAACCCTAATTTTTCTTGTAAGTTTTACTTTTATCATTCATCATTTGTTGGTTGTCTGTTACTCTGCATAGACTCTAGAGCTAAGTGCTGATATTTTGATTGAGTGCTGAAAATAAGGTAGTGATTGTGTTGATAATGATTTGTTTTACCATACAGTACATAGAGCCAAAGGAAGGTAACTTTGTTGATGTGGAGACTGGGAAAATTGTTGGCAAACACAAAGGTAATTGAATCCTCAAAAAACTTTTAGCTTTCATCATTTTTCAAGGATGTTATAAACTTGAGCAGGACTTTACCCCTGCCCACCCCCTTGGGCATTGTCCTCCCCTGTCATTACCACAGATTGATGATGCCCTATACAATACCCCCCCCCCCCCTTTTGGGTATTAGACTTTCCCCATTATTACCCCCCCCCCCCCCCTGTATCAATCAACCCCCTCCCCCTTCTTTAGAAAAAAAACTACAGTGGGTCATTAACACCCTCCCAGTCTTTCAGATCTAGGAACACATTACAGATAGGGCTACACAGTTAATGTTACTGTTTATAGGTAAAGATATAATATTTATTCTCTGTGGGGTGGTGGGTCATGTCCTTGATCTTAAACAAACAGGGCAATCTAGAGCAATATAATATATTTGTTTTTATTTAATTGGCATTTTTGTCATGTAGCTATGGAAATGTTGATTAATTTTTCAGGTCATCATTACTGGACAATTGGCCAGAGATGCCTTATTCAAGGTCTGCCAAAGGCTTTCTTTGCTTGTGAAATCAAAGCCGACACCAATGAAGTCATAGTGGTAAGCTCTTCTGCTCTGAAAATTTTAATGAAATCAAACAAAGTTGTAATCAGTAAATGGTTCTATTTTTAGGCTGATTTTATTGAGTATTCACATAGTAAACTATGCAGACGTTTCAAATAAATTAAAGAAATTAATGCTCCTACTTAACTAGATGTATGATTAGATTCTCTATTTTGTGACAGTCATTAATTATAGTTATCTAGATACCTAAATACATTAGGGTGGAGTGATTAATTTGTTAACCTGGGTATGGCCACTTTTGATATATCATTTCAAGGCTTTTTGATGTTAATGGTTGTTACTTGTGCTTGGATTAAAATTAACTGTTAGTTGTATTTTGAATCAGATGTTAAAACAAATTTATCTATCAAAATCATATTAAAAGAATTCACTAGTTATAATATTATTTAAATTTAATCAACATCTGAATTAAGAATGTGTAATTGAAGCAAGAATTATCCTATTGAAATTGAATCATCACTGACTAAAAGACTACCTTGTGAAAAAATTGTATTTATATTTAAAATTAATTTAAAGTTTCTTATAACAATAGTATTTTATTAGACTAAAATAGTACCTTATTTGTATTTGCTACTTTTTTTTTAATAATTGAATTTAGTAATTCAATTTTTAACTATTTATATTGCAAATCAAAATTCTTACACTTGGTTTACACTTACGACATGCATACCATATATGTCTAGGAAAAACCTGCAACAAATACGTAGGCTATACATATTCCATGCGGAAAACTTAATGCGAAGTTTATTCCTGGACATGTTTAGTATTGGATCAGGGCATTTCCCCCCTGTCAATTACCCCCCGGACATTACCCCCCGGAGTAATTACCCCCCTGTCAATTACCCCCCGCCCAGTAGGACGTTACCCCCCCCTCCCCCGGACAGGGATAGAGTTAGGGTTAGGGCTAGGGTTAGGGTTAGAGCTAGGTTTTGGGGCTAGGGCTAGGGTTAGGGCTAGGTTTAGGACTAGGGCTAGGGTTAGGGTTAGAGCTAGGTTTTGGGGCTAGGGCTAGGGTTAGGGCTAGGTTTAGGACTAGGGTTAGGGTTAGAGTTAGGGCTAGGTTTAGGACTAGGGCTAGGGTTAGGGCTAGAGTTATAGTTAGGGTTAGAGCTGGAGCTAGAGTTAGGGTTAAGTTTAAACCAATGTCTAGCGTTGGTTTTGGTTTTGTGTGAAGTTTTAGGCTAAGGTGGATGTTTAGGTTTTGGTCTTTTTCTTAAGGTTTGGATTAAAGTAGTACATAGGTATAGAATTCCAATTAGAGTTAGGATTCTAACTTGAGAGGGGGGGGGGGGGGTAATTCCCCTGGGGGGTAATTGCCCCGGGGGGTAAATACGGGGGGGGGGGGGTAATTTCCAGGGGGGTAATGTCCTGTAGCCGTTTAGTATACATGTTGGAAGGGGTAAATGACTTTTTGAATGAGATGTAAATTGCATTTTTATTTTAAATTAATTTTTTACGCTTTAAAATAATTTTTATCCACTAAAAGACTACCCTCTGTGTACATTGTATTTCTCACATCGCAGGCCCTAGGCACTGACCATCCTGCCCTGTTCACTGACACCCTCAGGCTTGGACCCTGCCACTGGATCAACTCACCCCCTCCCTCACTCCTCCAGTCTGGCCAATTTGACGCCAAGTTCCGCTTCCAGCACAAGCATCCGCTGGTTGGATGCTCCGGTAAAATAGACCAGACTGGTCACTGTTCACTGACCTTGGATTTCCCCATGAGGGCGCTGACGCCTGGTCAGTTTGCTGTGTTTTACCAGGACGATGTTTGTGTAGGGAGTGCTCGCATCCTGGAAGTGGGACCTACGTTGTACGAGTTAGATGTCAGAGAGAGGGTTGTGTTTCCGAAGGAGTTTTCGTGAAGCCTGTGTGAGCTAGTCTGTTGATTGTTATCCTTAAAATGTTAATGTCCCAAATTTTGGAGAAGTGTATATACATTTTAATAAAAATATTTTTAAAAATATTTTCTCGTTCCATGACACTTTTTATTAAATGTTAGTACATGTTTTCATGGGTAACAGGGCATTTCCTCCCTGTCAATTACCCCCTGGGACATTCCCCCCCCCCCGACATTACCCCCCAGAGTAATTACCCACCTGTCAATTACCCCCCTGTCAATTACCCCCCGCCCAGTAGGACATTACCCCCCCCCCCCCCAGACAGGGATAGGGTTAAGGCTAGGGTTAGGGTTAAGATTGTGTCTAGCGTTGGTTTTGGCTTTGTGTAAAGTTTTAGGCTAAGGTGGATGTTTAGGTTTTGGTCTTTTTCTTAAGGTTTGAATTAAAGTAGTATATAGGTATGGAATTCTAGTTAGAGTTAGGATTCTAACTTGAGAGGGGGGGGGTGGGGTAATTGACAGGGGGGGGGGGTAATGTCCTGTAGCCGTTTTCATGTAGATCTATAACTATAAAGAATGTTTATTTTCATTTATATATTTAACTAAAAAAATGTAAATATATGTTCAGACTTAATTTATATTTAACAATTATGCGCATGTTTATAAACTTAATTTTTAACTAGTTACCTATTTAGGCACCCACACCTATATTTCTGTCCACTCTTATCAAAATCATCTTATTTATCATATTTACATGTGGTATATATATCAAATCCAAAATTCTGGAGTATACAATGTCTAGCACTTATTGTCTGATCTTGTTTTACTCACGTACAGATTATTTATTAACTAAAAAAAGACAGTTCCATGCCATTTGATGGGTTTGAAAATGCTTAATTTCTAAAACTTTAAAACTATGCAATATAGTTGGTCATTTTGTTCCATATATTTTTCTTGGTGTTCAAATAGTTCCATTGTAATTGAACACTGGACCAGCAAATGCAGATATAAAAATAATGGTTTTATTATTATAATTAAAATCCCAAGTACTGTTTATTTACCATCAGCTAGAGTTACAGATAGGTGATTATGTTAGTTAAATGCAAGGTAAAAATCTAAGATAAGTGAAAACAAATAGGTTTGGCAGTATGGTTAGTGTCAGGTTTATTTTTCTAGTTAATTTATTGTTTGCTGTATTTTTTCCCCACAAAAATTGATTTAATAAGACATCTTTTAAAACATTAGATAATTACATTGGATCGTACTTCACCTTGGCCACTTCATAACATCTACAATTTTTTTTTACTTTTTTGCTAGATCTATTTGTTAATAATTATGGCTATTCTGAAACGCTTCAACCTTCATATATAAAGGCAGGGGCGGAACTACAGTGCCGCCAGACCCCGCAATGCGGGGGGGCCCAGGCCGATTGGGGGCCCAAAAATCCTGGCTAAATTATACTTTTTTTTTTTTAATTTAAATAAAAAAAATTAGGTGGATGTCGAGTTATCTTTCTTCTACAGTTACAAACAAACACGATAGTCGGCAAACGTCTTTGAGAAAAATGCACAGACTATAGCTCGAGAGACCGCCAGACATATAGACAACTTCAAAGACGCAACCTACCGTTCTTTTTTAGTGGCGTCGATTAGGAGAACAAAAAAGCTTTGAAAATCGAGCTGGGGAAATGTTGCGGCGACTATCCTGGTCTTCTAGACGACCGGAAAAAGTCGGCGCTATTGATGTAGATGTTCATCGGCGCTTTCTTGTCTCCTTCCCTTGAACCTTCCCAACTCTCTACCCTCCCCCCCCCCCCCCATCCCCCTAACCTCTACCCCTCGCCACACCCTTACTTTTACAATAAGATGTAATGCATAGATTAACGAACCGTTTATGAACTACTGAACTGTAAACTGACCACTTCTGCACATTTTGTTAAAGACACTAGTCGGTAGTTGTTCATTTACCTTATGAAGTATTTCGTTGACGAATCTAATTCACACAACAAGGAAGGTAAGACTCGTCTTTATATTATTAATCGTTTTATAATTAGTACACGTATTAATGGAACATTAGTTATTAACACTAAATACATTAAAGTTAAAATTTTTTAGGATACAATGATCTAGCTTTTAAGCCTAAAAATAACCAAAAGATCTATACAGGGGCGGAACTACAGTGCCGCCAGACCCCGCAATGCGGGTGGGGGGCGGGTGGGAAGGTGGGGGGAAGGCCATTTAGGGGCCCACTGCTGACCATAATTAGTATTTATAAAATTTTGAATTTAATTTTCGTGCATTTTTGCCTTGATATTTAGTTTGTAAAAGAAAAACACTGTAGCTGCGGTACGATTATCTTTATTTTACAGTCACTATACCACGCTCTTCAGCAAAAAAATAAAATCCATTACACAAAATACAGTGTAAAATATAGGCAACGCTTCAAATTTGAATGACACATTTGACTCGTTGCCCCCCTTTGATAGCTAAATAGAGGAAACGTAACTGTTTGACCGATCCTCCAAAGTGTACTGTGGCGGATGGGGCAGGGGATGGGGATCAAATTTCTTTTTATTTATAGTTGTATTTTTTAACCATCGTCAAGGCCGAGTTCTATTTCCCCACAATCAAACACACGCTGTCGCCGGCAAAATTCTTTTAAAAAAAACAACAAAGACCATAGCACGAGAAGCCGCTACATATGAAGTGGCTTTCATGATGCGCGGTTCTACTTTGCGGCATAAGTTAGGGACCCGCCGAAATCCATTGTACATTTTTCAATGTTAATATGTGTATGTGATAGTGGTTGAATTTGTATTCTGTACTATCTTGAATCCTACAAATAATAAAAAAGAATATAATACTAGAAACTTCGTTTTTATATACGTTTACTTGTTTTTTACTTTTACAAGAAATATCATAGTAAACTTTTAAGGCCTATACTTGGAATTATCTCCCCTGAGTAAGTTTTTTAATGGGCGGTGGTACATAGGCGCTTTGTTGTCTCTTTCAAGATTTTTCCCGAGCCTACCCCCATCCCATCCCTCTTTTTTAGCCTCGCAAGTATCGAGTAGACCAATGTATCGTTTATGAACTACTTCCTAACCGTACGATTCACCACTTTAGCACATTTTGTCTGACATTAGACAGCACTAGTCAACATATATTGATTTATTTGCATAGTATTAGTATTAGCCACATCTGATTCACAAAACAAGAAAGGTAAGATTATTTTTTATATAATTATTTAGAAATTAATTAGAACGTTTAAAATTAATTGAACATTATTATATAATTAATAGTCAATTACTATTTATAAATGAAGTTATTGAGGTGGGGGTGTGTGAGGGTCTGGCTTTTTGTTAGTCGTTAAAAAATGTGACGTCATTTGTGGATTCCCCCCCCCCCCCCCTAAATCAGAAGGTTATCCGACGCGTGAGCTGGCCACATACAGTTGTGCATGTGAAAAACATTTTTCTGTCTATTTTGCATTACTGCATATTTACCCAATCGCCATGAAAACTTTGGAAGCTGTTGAGGACAGCCCAGGGGAGGAACTACAGTGCCGCCAGACCCCGCAATGCCTGGGGGGGGGGGAGCAAGCCGTTTAGGGGGCCCACAGCCGCCCATAAAATTTTTTTTATAGTTACAATTATTTTTCTTGCATTTTTGAACTGATGGTTGTTTTGAAAAAGAATACCGTAGCTGTGGTTGGAGTATCTTTATTCTATAGACACCATCCCACGCACTTGTATATTCTTTTTCCTACAAACACACGCTGTTGTCGGCAAAATTCTTTTGAAAAAACATCAATTGCGCGAGAGACCGCTAGATATTAAGACGGCATTTTGAGACCATCCCAAATTTGGTACTGATGGATAAAATCACATTGGTGCTTTGTTGTCCCTTTTAAGTTCCTTTCTCAGACCTCCCCTCCCGCTCTTAGCCTTACAAGAAGCGAATAGATAGCGCCTCAACAACTAAGCTGGCTCATATCGGTGGTAGTGTAGACAAACTAGCGCTCCAACAACAACGCTGGCTCGAATCGGTGGTAGTTTTGATAAACTAGCGCTCCAACAACTAATATCCAAGAAATAAAGTGCCTACATTGTTTACGTTTGATAACCACTGTTCTAGAGAACAAGGCAGACGTCTCAAATGAATACACGAATGATAGCGTGTTATATATATATATATATATATATATATATATATATATATATATATATATATATATATATATATATATATATATATATATATATATATATAAATTAGTTTCGTCACTGGCGACTTGATAGTGGTTTTGTAAGTAACAAACAGAATACAGATCTAATACAGTAGTTATGTTATATAGTAGCTAAGACATGCTGTTGCGTAAAAATTTTTTTTAAAAATGAACACAGCTGTAGTGTGAAAGATAGGCAAACGTTAAAACCACTTGCATAAATTATTTCCCTTTTTCAAATAGTCAAATAGGGGTGCTCAAAAACTCTTTTTAATAATCAAATTAAAAAGCAATTGCTTATCTTAATTATTATTTAAAAAAAAATAAGTACTAAAGAATGATATAGTATAAAAATGAAACGTAGTTAAAGTTAATAATATAAATACAAAAAACATAAAAATAAACATAACACCAGACACCATTACTTATACAAAGCTTCATACACTTTTGACCGACTTAATGATTAGAAGTATTTGACATGAATGAAAACAGATTTTTTCAAAACAGACCAATGCACTCATACACATGACATGCTGTTGTGATTAGATTTAATTGAATTTTTTTTTTTTAAAACTCGATCAGGCCAGAAAGGAGTATCCTATATTCGTATTGTGTTTGAGTGTATATATATATATATATATATATATATATATATATATATATATATATATATATATATATATATATATATATATATATATATATTATACATATATAGGGGGGCCCAAAAAAATTTTTTGCGGGGTGGCCCATTTTTTCTAGTTCCGCCACTGTATAAAGGTCTAATGACACTAGGCTTACTCAAATTATTAAAAACAACTAAAATTTACTTTAATGACTAAAATGGGAAAA